CTTTATAAATTGATATAAAATACTATAAATCTCCGCCACGCGGAAAATGGGATTGTTCTCAGCACTTCCCGTTTCTCACACATATTTTGTATACGCTGTGGCCTACGTCACAGCTCACCAATACTGCTTTTTAGTGGCAAAACTTCTAAAGAGAAATTAATTTTGTATTGAACACTTTTTAAAACTAGATCTAGACCTAGATGTTCTCAAAACATGCGTTCAATAAACATACTGTCGCGATTAGAAAAAAAAAAATGACAGACTTGCTTTAAAAAGTGATATTGTTAGAGCTGTAAACCTTTTAAAATCTGTAAAAATCACCCTCAGGGATTTTTAATTTGTAGTTATTAAGGAATTTTCTAGAATACAGCTAACTGGTGTGTACAAAAATATTGACCTGTTAAGACAAATTAATACAAGTCACTGTGCAAAAGCTGGACTCGTTATATTTATAATAATAAATTATAGCATTTGTAGAGCGCACAGTCCCGCTCAACTGCAAGCTCTATGCGCTTTACACTATATTATTACCCCAGCAGACCACAGAACACCCAGAAACATTTTCGGCTTCCCGGGAAGCATAGAGTGCAAGCAGCTATTAAGCATTCAAACATTAACAAACTGACAAGATCTTTCGCTGACTATAGCTGGGTACCCATTTCCACCTGGATGAGGTGAGGAAAATTTGTGTAAAGTGCCTCTCCCAAGGACACAACATCAGGCCTCTTTGCTCGATACGTGAGGAAATACTTGCCAATAATTGCGCCACGATTGTTTTTTACCACACTGTAGCTTTTCCCCAGCCCCAAAAACTCACGCGCAGGGTCTCCAAGGAGTCGTTGGAGCGGAATCCTTTGAGCAGGTTGAGCATTCCCTTGGGGCCTATCCTGTTACAGGACAGATCCAGCTCCAGCAAGACGCCGTTGTGGCCCAGGGCTGTGCCCATAGACGTGGCCCCGTCGTCGTCGAAGCCGTTCCAACTCACGTTTAAGTACTTCAGGGTAGGGTTTTCCTGGTGGGGGGAAATATAGAAAGATAAATAAATAAATACATAAATAAATGAATAAATAAATACATACATAAATAAATAAGAAAATAAATAAATAAATAAATACTTTAATACCTAAATACATACGTGGATGAATGAATGAATGATTGAATGAATGAATGAATGAATGAATGAATGAATGAATGAATGAATGAATGAATGAATGAATGAATATATATCGAGATACTCAATAAAATCCTTGCCGTAAGGGACTCGAATCCTAGTCTTTTGCGTGCGCTGGAGAAGCGCCCACGACACCACAGACGCCGGTGGGAAAAAAAAGGAAAGATGGACAATAGAAAAAAAGACAGAACAATAATTTCTTAGTTTATTTCCATGATGTCAACTACAGTTATTTCATTCAATATAACATGTTTTTTTCTTTCTCAGGGACTTCAAGACATAGAAAATTGAAATTGTGTGATTCCATGACGTACCAGGTACGTCAGTTTGGTACTGAAGGGGTTAAACATTCCACTTGTGAGTCCCCAGGGGGACCAACAAAGATGCTTGTAAGAACAACACCAACCAAGGGAGTTGTGAAGTTGTTCCCATCTTCACTTAGTTAAAAAGATATTGTAAGACGTTAAGAAAACATTTTAATACCAAGTACACACACATACACACACACACATACACACACACATACACACACATACACACACGCACACTGTATAT